AAATAAAAACATTTCTCTTTGAACAAATGTTTCCACCCCCTCAGGTTTAGAGCTGCTAGGACTGATTTTATTATGACTGTATCTTCTTCTGTTTTGATCTTTTGTATGTGAAGCAATTTGTGACCTGTGTCTGTGAAAAGCTCCATATAAATAAACTTTACTTACTTATTGATTATACACACAGAGGTCCTGTATACAGAGGTTTATATACAGGGTGATATTGCACATTAATTACACAAGTTATTGCACAGATTCTCGTGCTCAGTGTTTGTATTGTAGTGGAAGTTGCCCAGGTTGGGACACTTGCATCCATATCCACACGTGAGACTTTATAGGTGAGTTTCATTGTTGACAAAAGCGTGCCTTGCATGCTGGGAATTATTTTGGTCGGCGGCAAGAAACACTAATTCAACATGACGGACGGAGCGAGAAAGCACGTAAAGGGTATTGATCCCGGTTATTTATCCACTCTAACGGCAGAGGACCCAAGACCATTTGACCAGAAATTGGTCATAAGCATCGATGGACGACAAATCACCCTTTTCAACCCCGACAAAAGGTGGACCAAACCAAATTTCTGGTCAGAATCACCAACTACCTGGACAAATATTCACTTGGGCGATATCCACAATGACTTGGTGGAAACTCCTGGGCCATTCACAGCAGAAAAGATGAAAACCTCCAAGAGTCTCGATGTGTTGTTGAACTTGTTGGAGTCCACGGTTTGTTAGGATCTTCTACGTTTGCTCTGTGAATTGTTTGAAAGTCGTTTAATTCACCGTTAGCGGTTCTTTTCACTCAGAATACGAAAAAGACATTTTCCTTCTTCCGTGCTTCTATTTGTGCATCTGATAATGCAGCAGGAATTGACCATTATCGGGGAGAAATACGCGAGGTTACGCACTGTGTTTGACGCTATCGTGTTTCTTGCCTCTGACCAAAATATTTCCCAGCAGCAACGCGGGCTTTTAATAACAATGACGTCAGCTGAAACTCGACTATTGTCACAGTCTGTTTACCTGCCTGAGCAAGAAGGAATTGATCTGACTGCAGATGGTTCAAAACTCTGCAGCAAGGTTCTGACCCGCACCAGCAGGAGAGCACAGACCACTCCCGTCTTAAAATCCTTACATTGGCTCCCTGTTCTTTTTCGTGTCCACTTTAAGATCCTGGTGCTGATCTTTAGGGCTCTACATGACCAGACTCCAGACCTGATAAAGCTGTACATCCTCTGCCAGGAGCCTGACATCCACCAGACAAAACCTGCTCCTGGTAAAACGTGAGGCGAACACATCCTTTCAAACCGTCTCCTCTAAACTCTGGAATGATCTGCCTCCTCGCCTCTGCTCTCTAGATCAGGTAGATGGTTTTAAAAAGCAAATAAAAACATTTCTCTTTGAACAAGCATTCCCGTCTCTTCAGGTTTAGAGCAGCTGAAACAGATTTTATTATGACTGTATCTTCTTCTGTTTTTATCTTTTGTATGTGAAGCACTTTGTGACCTGTGTCTGTGAAAAGCGCCATATAAATAAACTTTACTTCCTGTATACAGAGGTTTATATATTGCACATTAATTACACAAGTTATTGCACAGATTCTCATGCTCAGTGTTTGTATTGCAGTAGAGCAGGGGTGTCAAACTCATTTTGGTCCGGGGGCCGTATCCAACCTACTTTAATCCCAAAGGGGCCGGATTCAGAAAACTCATGGCATATAAACCCCAAAAATAACAATAAATTCAAATATTTGTGCAGAGAAATGCAAATTTATTACAGAAATCTTTTTTAATTGATGAACTCTTTCTTATTATAATATTATAATATTATGAACAACCTGAAACTTTAAGAAAAAATTCAATTTCAACACAATGTTTTACATGAACTTGTATGTAAATAAGAATAAATCCATTTATCTTGGAAAATGCTGCACTCGGAAGAGACAAATCTTCATTTGTGCTGCTCTGGTGGGAAGGGCTACGTACAGAGACGCTGGAGATGCTGCGCACCGCAGAAAATTAACAATATTTTAATAGAAAATATAATTAAAATATTTTAGTAGAAAATCACCCAAGGGCCACATTAAAGATCTTGGAGGGCCGGATCTGGCCCCCGGGCCTTATGTTTGACACCTGTGCAGTAGAGGTTCCTGGGCTGGGACACTTACATCCATATCCACACTTGAGACTTTATACTTTGTAGAGAGATGTGCCTTAAGTAGCCCAGGCTGGGACACTTAAAACTACAAAACTCTGACCAGATATTACTCTGTATTAAATATTGCACAGAGGATGGAGGGGCAGGAGTGTGGGGACAGTGCATACTGTATGTAAGTAAGTAAATAAATCTTAATTTATATAGCACCTTTCACAGATAAAAAAGAGCAAAAAAAACATAAAAACAACATAAACAAGAAAAGAGGAATTACAGACACAGTCGACTAAAAGCCAGTCTAAACAGCAGTGTCTTGAGCTGCTTTTTAAAAGAGTCTAGACCAGGGGTGTCAAACTCATTTTGTTCCGGGGGTCGTATCCAACTTACTTTGATCCCCAAGGGGCCGGATCAGAAAACTCATGTCATATAAACCCCAAAAATAACAATAAGTTCAAATATTTGTGCAGAGAAATACAAATCTATTACAGAAATCTTTTTTAATTGATGAACTCTTTCTTTTACAAAATATTATAATATTATGAACAACCTGAAACTTTAAGAAAAATACAATTTCAACACAATGTTTTAAAAATAACTTGTATGTAAATAAGTCCATTTTTGTTGTAAAATCCTGCACTCGGCTCCACTTTTCTCATGTTGGACATTTTTCTGATGAGGGTGTCACGGTCAACAGTCAAAACGATCGTCCTTTAAGAGCGTTTGGAAAGAGACAAGTCTTCATTTGTGCTGCTCTGGTGGGAGGGGCCACGTACAGAGATGCTGGAGACACTGCTGTGATAAACACCACAGAAAATTACCAAGATTTTAATAGAAAATAATATTTTAGTAGAAAATCAGCCGAGGGCCAGATTAAAGGTCTTGGAGGGCCGGATCTGGCCCCCGGGCCTTATGTTTGACACCTGTGGTCTATAGAGTTTGCTTCACGTAGAGCTTGAGGCAGGACATTCCATAATTTGGGAGCCACAGCCTGAAAGCAAACGTCACCCCCAGTTTTAAATTGGGTCTTTGGGACCATCAGGAGGCCCTGACCAGAGGCCCGGAGGGTGCAGCCTGAGGAGTAGGAGCGCAGTAAGTCACTGATGCACTGTCCATTTAAAGCTCTGTAAGTTAAAACCAAAATTTTTAAAATCAACACGGAACTTAACAGGAAGCCAGTGCAGTGAAGATAAACTGGTGTAAATATGTATGTGTGTTCAAAGTGGCCTTTAGGAGAAAACAGGAGAAAACAGTTTTGGAGTCCAGTGGTCCGTGCTTTGATCCACCTGTAGCGTCTTCCTGAAGGCAGCAGGTCAAACCTCTCAGAGCCAGAGTGGGAGGTGTCCTTGATCATGTTTTTAGCGCTGCTGAGACAGCAGGAGGTGTACATGTCCATCAGGGACGGGAGAGAACAGACGATGATCTTCTGCTCTGTCTTGATGACCCTCTGAAGCCTCTCGCTGTCCATCGTGGTGCAGCTGCCACATCACTGTGATCCAGCACGTCAACACGCTCTCAGTCTGCACGCTGTGTCTCCTGGACGTCTCCCTGGGGACGTGTTCATGTCCCACAGGAGAAGAAGCAGGACACGCTGGAGGTACTATGTATCTGGGCTGGCCTGGGGAAACCTCAGGGTCACCCGGAGGAGCTGGAGGAAGTGTCTGGGGAGTGGGAAGTGTAGGAGTGACAGCTCAGTCTGCTGCCTCGGTGACCCGGCCCTGGAAAAAGAGGAAGAACACTGAGTGATGTGTTTGCACCACACCTCCAGATATGACTTGATTTAGTATTTTTTGTGTATATTCTTTGTAAATGTGCAGATTTTGTGCATTATTTAGTTCAGATCTGAGCAGTGTCCAACTCCTGAGCCACATACGACACTTTGTTTGACTCTCACCGGCCCGTTTAACCTCATTTGGAATTACAAAACAAACATATTTTATAATGCAAAGAAATAGATGTAGTTGGAGCTCTTGCTGGATCACCACTGAAATGAAATAATAATAATCAGGTGCTGTTCAGAGATCCTGAGTGGGCAAATAACTTACTGGATGAAAAAGGAGATAAAAAGGATCTGAGGCTCTCCACTATACTTTGTTATCATTTTATTTCATGTCAACGCTGATGTCTCTTCTTTCATCCAGAAAACATATTTTATAATTTGACCTCATGCATGAAAAGCTGCATTGCTTTGCTTTTAGAGGTGTTTTTAATGACATTTTTTGTTCAGCAGATTCACTTTTTCATTGTTTAGTCAGAACATAAACTCTTATCAGTCTGAGCAGCTCATCTAAACAACAATATTTACAGATTTTTATAAAGAAATACAATTAATATTATGCAGAATTGAGCATTTTCCACAATATTTTCTGTTTCTCACGTGACCCCATGGAAAGAATAAATGCCCATCTCTGATTTAGTGTTTGCTGATTTTAGTAACTCAAAAATCATAAATCCAGCTGTTACTCCGTTTCTCTGAATACTTTTGCCTTTATTCCACGTTCTTCTTACTCGAATACAACTTTTGAGCACCTTCACCCACCTCTGACTAGTCTTGATTTCACTCATTTAGAACAAATCGTGTGTATTTTCAGTGAAATTGAAGCTGGAGTGGAAAACGCAGGCTTTCATTCAGAAGGACATTTTTCCATGATGACTTCTCCGACTAACTCTTTTTACTCTTCTTACTTACTCCCCCACTCTCCTGTTTCCTCTTTTGTTGTCAGCACCGAACATGACGTCACCCTGCAGAGCACCCTTGGGTGACGGGGGGTTTGGGGGCGGAGCTTGAATTCACTTCGTCCAATCGGCGCAGAGCTATGCAAATAGGATAGCGGTGTGCGTCGTAGCGGGCAGCCAAGTGCCACTATCCGGATCTCCTCCGCTCACACCGGACCCGTGCGCCTTTACCCGTCTCCGAAACGCTCCATGGCTGGATAAAGCGACACCACGTAACTTTTTCCACCTCCCAAAGCGGATTTTAACACTTTTCCCACACGAGGACACGACGCAAAAGAAGGATCAACGCCATGAAATACAAAGTAAGTTCACTCCAAGTTGAACCGCGGCTCGCAGTTTCTATTCCGCCTAAATTTGGCAACACAAAAACTCTTATTTCCACACGTTTTCCGCATTTTTTTTTTTTTTTTTTTTTTTGACCACTTCTTGTTTTACGCTGTTGCCATACGGTTTTGTGCAAAAATAACCCTTAACCACTGCGCACGTTGGCGAGTATTCCAAAACTATCACGGATGGAGCGAACTCTGCACTTTAAACGCAAAAAAATCTGGTCTCTAAAATGTATTTCTAGCCTTTAACGTGCGCTTGGTTTCTATTTTTGCACGTAGACACGCTAATCTTCTTTTATTGCGTCCATTTATCGCTATAATAAGACGTTTATGACATTACCAGGTGCGTAAATGTGATGTTGGTGCAGCAGTAGCGGACCCCCCCCGTCTGCGGGCCCGCCTCCGTCACTGTTATGTTAATACTAAGTGGAAAAGTTGAATTAGAGAGTTTGAAAAGAGAGTTTTGAAAGTAAAATGTTGTCTTTTGTTTTGGAAATGTGTTAATTAGTTGAAATTTAAAAAGGCGTAGAAATGACTTGATTTTATTGCATTTTTAAAACTAAAATATGCGACTTACTGTTTACATTTTTCTTTTCTTTTTTTAGTTTAGTCCTGGTTTAGTGTTGGTTTAGTCCTAGTTTTCTTCTGGTTTAAAAACCCCCAAAACAAAACATAGAAATGACTTGTTTTATTGCATTTTTAAAACTAAACCTTTTTGTTTAGTCATGGTTTAGTGTTGTTTTAGTCTTGGTTTAGTCCTAGTTTTCTTCTGGTTAAAAAAAAAAAAAAAAAAAAAGAAAGAAAAAAAAAAACAAAAAAAACCCATAGAAATTACTTGTTTTATTGCATTTTTAAAACCTAAATATGTAACTTACTGTTTCAATTATTATTATTATTTTTTTTTAGTTTAGTCTTGGTTTAGTCCTGGTTTAGTCCTAGTTTGGTTCTGGTATAGTCTTGGTTTAGTCCTGGGTTTTTCCTAGTTTTCTTCTGATTTAAAAAAAAAAAAAAAAAAAAAAAAAAAAAACAACTTAGAAATTACTTGTTTTATTGCATTTTTAAAACTTAAATATGTAACTTTATTTCCATTTTTTTTTTTTTTTTAGTTTAGTCATGGTTTAGTTCTGGTTTAGTTTCGTTTTACTCCTGGTTTAGTCCTACTTTAGTCGTGGTTTATTTCTGGTTTAATCCTGGTTTAATTTTGGTTTAGTCCTGGTTTAGTTTAAATTTAAAAAGACATAGAAATTACTTGTTTTATTGTATTTTTAAACCTAAAATATGTACCTTACTATTTCCATTTTTTTGTTTAGTCATGGTTTAGTTCTGGTTTAGTCTTGTTTTACTCCTGGTTTAGTCCTACTTTAGTCCTGGTTTAGTCTTGGTTTAGTCCTGGTTTAGTTGTAGTTTTCTTCTGGTTTAATCTGGGTTTAGTCTTGGTTTAGTTGTGGTTTACTTCTGGTTAGGTCCAAGTTTAGTTCTGGTATAGTCTTGGTTTAGTCTGGGTTTAGTTCTGGTTTAGTCCTGGTTCAGTTCTGGTTCAGTTCTGGTTTACATTTAAAAAACTACATAGAAATGACTTAATTTATTGCATTTTTTAACACCAAAATATGCAACTTACTCTTTTCATTTTAGATTTTTGTGGTGAATAAGTGCAGTTTAGAATTAGGGATATGGAAATAATGTATAGGCCAAAACTAAAAATTTGTGTTTTTAGTCAATTTATCTAAAACATAATTGGTTAATGGTTCTATATTACACAAAATTAACTTTTTTGAGCTTTAAGCCACATTATAATGTTGTTACGTTCTCAAAAACAGACCTTGGATTTGTGTTTTGTTTCATTCACACATGTTTAATTAATCCTTTATTAATCGTCTGTCAGATCAAAATGCTTCGTTCCACCTTGTGATGTCATGAAGAGGTAGTTTTCAAGTTAACTCTATTTCCTTTCTACCTTTAGATAAGTATAGATTTGCAATTCCATGTTTGAAATGCTCCAACTGATTCTAGTGAAGATGTGTGGAGTTTAAAAACCCAGTGGAGCTCTTCCTGTATTACCACATGACATCACAAGGTGGAGCAGGGTGTTTTCAGTTTGAGAGAAGAACTCCAGTCCGTCTGTGTTGAGGAAACATTATAACAGAGATCAGAAAATGTAGTAATGTGGACCATTTAACTAAACAAGATTAGATTTTTCACAATTTAATTCAGAAATAAGACAAATATAAAAGATTTTTTGAAGCATTTCTGACGGTTTATTATATCAGCAAATTATGCAAAGTGACGTGAGCTCAGCAGTGCTCAAAATTCTATCTTGAAAGAGGAAGTGGATTCTTTTTTATCAGATTTGAGGCTCATAATGTAAAAAAGTTTCCTCTTGTTTAGTGACTCGACTGGTTGTAAAGTAACTCGTATTATTTTTATTTTTATTATGTTGTCAGGCGGTAGGTCCAGTAGAAGGAAGTTTGCATCATGTTTTAGATTTTCACTTGAAATGAGTCAGGTTTATGTCACTGTTTGACTCTCCACATCGCTCACATCACTTTAATGAGTCTTTATTTTAGATATTTACTGTAGATATTTAAGATCGTGTTTTTAAAGATGTTTGTGACACATTTTTATGTTGATTTTCTGCTGTAAAATCTATATAGTGTTTGGTTTGGCTCTAATTTTGTTGTGACGTGGTTCTCTTTTCTAGTCTTGGTTTAATGCTGGGTTAGTCCTGGTTTAGTTCTGGTTTAGTTGTAGTTTACTTCCATTTTAGTCCAAATTTAGTCTTGGTTTAGTCCAGGTTTAATCTTGGTTTAGTCCTGGTTTAATCTTGGTTTAGTCCTGGTTTATTCATTGTTAACTTCTGGTTTAGTCCTTGTTTAGTCCTGATTTAGCCCTAGATTAGTTCTGGTATAGTCTTGGTTTAATCCTGGTTTAATGTTGGTTCAGTCCTGGTTTAGATATGGTTTAGTCCTAGTTTAGTCCTGGTTTGGCCCTGGTTTAGTTCTGGTTTAGTTCTGGTTCAGTCCTGGTTTAGGTTTGGTTTAGTCCTGGTTTAGTCCAGGTTTAGTTGTGGTTTATTCCCGGTTTGGTTCTGGTAAAGTCTTGGTTAAGTCCTAGGTTAGTCTTGGTTTATTTCTGGTTTAGTCTTGGTTTAGTCCTGGTTTGTTCCTGGTTTAGTCCTGGTTTAGTCCAGTTTTGTTATCCTTTTTGCAGCTACAGCATGTATGTATAACTCCGTAACAGTGTTAAAAATGTTATAATAGATATTTTTGGAGTTTAGAAATACTCTTGCACAGAAAGTTGAATTGTCTGATATTTGTCGCAAACTCAGAAGACTCCACACTGAGAGACTCCTGCTGGAGGTTCAAATTTTCCCAGCAGGCTTTTCCTCTTCTCAGCGAGAGTCGTTCTACTTTCAGATCGTGACGCATAATCTGACGTTTGGAAGGTTTATGTAGAAAATGTTCTTATTTCCCCTCGTGTTTCGTTTTGAATGGTGTGCGTAATATATCGATCTATCCTTCCCCCTTCAGTGCGTTACATATTACTTACATACACTACATCAGATGCCCTCCCAGAAACACCCACACCAACATTTATCAGTTACTCGAGTAAACAATTAGCAACTTCCTCCCCACAAACAAGCGGAGTTTACCGTGAGCTGCTTTTACAATAAAGGCCAGGCGTGCTAATTGAGCTGTTTACCTGCTAACTGATTCCTGTTACGGGCTCTGCAGGCTTCCATTGTGTCATTGGGCAAAACACTTCCCCCTCCAAGCCTATAATTAATAGCCTGAGTGTAACGGTTGGATTGGAAGTGGTCATATGGGCGCAGATTGACAGACATTTTGCATTGTTGAGCCCCAAGGCAGATGTGACGACTATATTTGAGTCCATTTGGGGAAAAAGACAGAAATCGATTAAAAAAATATCTAATTGCATCCTGAATTTTGGTGATTTTGGTGCTCATATACTAGAAAATTTTCTGATTAGAAATTTTTGCTAATGCTGGATAGGGGTGTGCAAAAATATCGGAATATCGATATATCGTATCGTTTAATGTGATGATACAGTATTGATATCGTGGGCTGCTGTATCGATATATCACCAAGAGTATTTTTATGTGTGTTTTACTAAATTATTTTGTTACAGTGCTACAGTTTTGTTGCTTGTGGAGTGAAAGGAAACTCATTTATGCAACACATTTGATATTTTTCCTGTTTTGAGGATTAAAATGTTTGTGTTTCATATGAACTTTGCACAAGAAGTGGTTTAACAAAGACTTTTAGTGTCACAGCCATGATTTAGCCTTTATTTTTTATTGAACTGTATGGAATCGATTTGAAATATATCATATCGAAACAAAAGTGCACTGTATCGAGATATGTATCGTATCAAGTGTGTTCAGTGTGTGACTAATGCATCGTCATCGCTGTTTCCTTTCTTCTCTTGATAGTTGTGGATAAATTGTTCATGTTCGAATGTTTCTCCTTTGTGGAGTTTGTTGGTTGAAGATTTGGTGATGGGGCAGATTTATGAAGCTGTTGGAGAATACACCAGACATTTACACAGATATTTTGCCACAAAAAAAAAAAACATTAACCTGAAGTTCCACAAACCTACAGCGTTGTGAAAAAGGTCTATTGCCTCCTGCATTTTGGTGCTCATAAACATTAACAAAAAATATTCCCCTTATTTGAACCTATGTAAACTAGACGGTGTTATTGACCAAAAATTGTGAAATTACTGGGAAAAATATTGAATCTCAGTAGACTTCTGTTCAAAGTTCACATTTTAAATACGCCCAGAAGTATTGACAAAAAACCCCCCCTGAAAGCTGAACTGACAAACTGACTCAAGAATCACATTTCAGAACATGTTTTTATGCAGAATAAAACCCCATGGAGACACGGGAGGGCATCTGACGCACACGAACGTATTTAAGAGCACGTTTGAACAAATCTAAACTACGGGGTTAG